ATCCTATGACAATCCAGCAGTTCCCATATGCTATGGGTGTACAGGAAGACTTGGGTGTTCCAAGATGGCGTCCAAAACCGGAAGTGCGTCTCCACTGCTACCGGAAATGCGTCACCGCGCATGCGCTCTACGCGTTACACCACGATCCAACACGTGGCTTCCTCAGGATATCGCATTGGGTGACAGGGACTGGCATTTATAGGCTAGTACAATTAGGGGCGTGAACTAAGCCTCCATTTTATTGTAGCTCAAATGCCTATACAGCGGTGTGGACTTATTCCTTACTCATCCTATCCCATCAATGTACAAACTTATTATCCATGGATAAATGTCCACAATGAAAAACTATACACTAAATTATAAATATTCATTCAAATACGATATTAATTTATTAAAGGGAGACTAAATTAAATCTTTATTAAAAGCCAATTTAAATAATTAAAATTTAATCATATAAAACTTTTTATATGAAAAAAGGGAGGATATTACGTGTTCACATATCATATGGACACATAAATCCACACTCCTATATAAAATTAATACAATATAAATCTCCAACGATGGAAGCTAATGTGGACAAATTAATAATCATATACATTTCCCTAATCACACCCATAACATATGTTTACAAAAATAATACATATAAAAATAAAATATATATAAATAAAATAAAAAAATAGAAAAATAATTTAGTAACAATCCATAAAATAGCCAAGTGGAACTAAAAATCACTAATAAAACAGTTGAGGTTGAATTCTATGTTTAATCCTCTAGGTGTTATTGTCTGCATTTTAAAAATCCACCTGGACTCAGCTTGACTGAGTGTTCTTATCTTGTGACTTCCTCTCCAATGTTTAATATATTTCTCTATACCCCAGAAAACTAATCCTGATGGGTCTTTGTTATGATGGCCAGCGACATGTTTAGACGAGCTGTGTTTAGGGTAACCATTTTTTATATTTTTAATATGTTCTCGTAACCTTACCCATAAAGGCCTTTTTCGTGCGTCCCACGTATTGCAGGCCACACCTACATTCCAATGCATAGACTACACCGGGTGTCGGCAACCCGCGGCTCCAGAGCCGCATGCGGCTCTTTTTTCACCTTTGCTGCGGCTCCGGAGCACACTGCCCACCAGGTGACAGGCAATAGGGTTGCCGTAGCTCAGTGGTCGGCAAGCCGCGGCTCTTTACACATTTTTAATGCGGCTCTTCTGTGTGCCGGGCGCCCGCTCCCCTCCCTCCTCTCCGGCGGCCGCCCCAAAAGTCAGGACTCTGCAGCAAGCCCAGCAATGGGCAAACTACGGCCCGGCGGACCTTTTAATCTGGCCCGCGGAGCGTGGTAAACATTGGCTGTCAGGATGTAGGCGGGGCAGCGTGACGAACTCCTCTCCTCTCACAGTCCGCCCTGAAGACCGGAACGGTGCGGGAACACGGCGAGAGGAACGCGCGGAGCAAAGGTAAGTGAATTGACACAATATGGCGAATGAATTACTATAGGGGGGATGAATTACTATGGGGGGATGAATTACTATGGGGGATGAATTACTATGGGGGATGAATTACTATGGGGGATGAATTACTATATGGGGGATGAATTACTATATGGAGGATGAATTACTATGGGGGATGAATTACTATGGGGGATGAATTACTATATGGGGGATGAATTACTATGGGGGATGAATTACTATATGGGGGATGAATTACTATATGGGGGATGAATTACTATATGGGGGATGAATTACTATGGGGGATGAATTACTATATGGGGGATGAATTACTATGGGGGATGAATTACTATGGGGGATGAATTACTATATGGGGGATGAATTACTATATGGGGGATGAATTACTATATGGGGGATGAATTACTATGGGGGATGAATTACTATGGGGGATGAATTACTATGGGGGATGAATTACTATATGGGGGGATGTATTTTCAGTTTTAAAAATGTGGCTCACAAAATAAATTTCAATCGTGGTTTTTGGCGAGATTTGGCTCAGTTGAAAAAAAAGGTTGCCCACCCCTGACCTAAGGCTATGATTGTGATTATGACGATACACTGTGGCCCTGATTAACCCTTTGCTTACTGGGCCCTTAAACCCCCTTCATGACCAGAGCGCTTTTTGCAATATATGCAGTGTCGGATTTGTTTTAAATGTTGCAATGGTTTTGCGGCTCCCAGTCTTTTTTTTCCCTTCGGAAACGGGTCCAAGTGGCTCTTTATGTCTTAAAGGTTGCAGACCCCTGGACTACACCTTCTGTTTTGCATGTAATAAAATCTTGAATATCAAAAGATTCCCCATTACTGTTCCATGTGAATGAATTCCTTTTCTTATTCTGTCCTCTAGTGGCTTTACATACACAACATCTTTTACAAGGGAAAAACCTTTAAAATTAAACAAAGTAGTTGACTTATTTTTAATTGGCGGATCTAAAACATTTTTAGCCACTGAATCCCTAAGTGTGGGGGCTTTTCTATAAATTAATTTAGGTTGATCCGGCAGTATACTACTTAATAAGGGGTCAGTCTTCAATATTGGCCAGTGTTTTTTGTAAATATTCTGAATCTTCTTATATTGCAAATTATAATCAAGAATGATGGCTGATTGATTCACTTGATCAGTATCTTTAATCTTGACTTTATCTTGAAGAAGTAATTTTCTTTCCATATTAGCTACTTCAATCCTGTTCTTTTCCAGATCAGATGAAGAGTAACCTTTTGCTATAAATCTACCTTCTATTAATTTAGCTTGAATATTAAACTCTTCCATAGTTGTACAGTTCCTCCTCAATCTGATGAACTGTCCTTTAGGGATATTGTTTAACCACGGTGCATAGTGACAACTATCCACCGGGATGTATCCATTTCTATCCACTTCCTTGAAGTGGGTTCTAATTCCCATTTCCTCAATATTAATTTCTAAATCCAGAAACTGAATGGATTGGCAGCTATATTTCCATGTAAATCTGATATTCTTAGTATTGTTATTCAATTGATCAAGAAAATCTTTTTAATTTGGTTTCATCACCTTTCCATACGATGATCACATCGTCTATAAATCTTCTGTACTTGACCAATTCTTCTGGTTGGTTATTATAAATCGCTTCTTGCTCCCAGTGAGCCATAAACAAATTGGCCACACTGGGAGCAAAGCGGGCTCCCATAGCCACCCCGTTTATCTGCCTATAAAATGCATTATGATGCCAAAAGTAGTTATGGCTCAAACAGAAATCTAAAGATTGGGTGATGAACCTCCTCCGGGTCCAAGTTAAACTACTTAATTCTCTTAAACCCCAACTCACAGAATCTATTGCATCATCATGATTGATAATTGTGTATAATGAGGAAACATCCCCGCTGGCCAAAACAACATTATGACTCCCCTTAATATCATCCAATAATTGGATTAAATGCTTGGTGTCACGTAAATATCATACCGTACTTTTGTAAATACATTTACAACAAAAACGTTGTAAATACAAGTCAATATATTGACCCACACGGGCTAACACCAACTGGATACCATTAACTATAGGCCTACTCGGAGGATTAACTGAATCCTTATGTAATCTGGGAATTGTATATATAATCGGTAATCTACATGATTCAGGGACCAGATACTTTGCCTCTTTTTTATTCAATATTTTTTTATTTTCACCTAATTTGATAACCTGCTCCAATTTTTTTTATATCTCCTGGTGGGATCATTTTTCAACTTAATATATGTAGTTTCATCATCCAGCTGAGCCTGCAATTCTTTATAATATTAATCTTTAGATAGATCAACAATCCCACCTCCTTTGTCTGCCGGCCTCACCACAATATCTTTTCTACTATATAATTTTTTTATATCCACTTGTAATCCCAAATTAGGTGCTTTCTTAGGGATCCTCAATTTTTCAAAATCTGAAATGACCATTTTTTTTTTTAAAACTTCCACTTGGTTATTAGTATTAATATGCGGATTAAAAAGAGACTTATTTCTCAACTTAGTCTGTGTAAAATTATTACTAATATTGGTGGAGATACTGTATTTTATTCCAGGTATTCCTAAAAAATATTTTTTTAGGTTCAATTTCCTAATATATTTCTGGGTGTCTATATATAAACTACCGTATTTTTCGCACCATAAGACGCACTTTTTTCCCCCCAAAAAAGGGGGGAAAATGTCAGTGCGTCTTATGAAGCGAATATGGAGCGGCCGGTCCTGTATTTCCACTGCCGCCGTGTCAGAATACCGGGCCGGCCGCTCAGCTCTACAGCGGGACCTTATAGAGATGACTGCTGACCTTTGGGGAGGGGGGGAGCGGGTACCTGAATTTGACAGATACCCGCTCCCACTTCCGTGGAGTTGTTCTTTCATCTTACCCGTTCCTCTATCCAGCGGCGCGGTCTTCCCGGCTTCTGTAGTGTGGGCATGACAGCCGGGTGCCAAGTGCGCATGCGCAGGAAGCGGTGCTTTTTGTGAATGGTAAGGCGGCACCTGGGACACATGACAGATCCCAGCAGCCGCCGGACCAATCACAAAGCGCAAGTGCTTCTCGCTCATGCGCACTGGGCATCCGGCTGTCATACCGAGCGCCATTACAGAAGCCGGGAAGACAGCGCGCGGCTGGATAGAGGAACAGGTAAGATGAAAGAACAACTCCGCGGAAGTGGGAGCGGGTATCTGTCAAATTCAGGTACCCGCTCCCCCCCCTCCCCAAAGGTCAGCAGTCATCCCCTGTACTATCCACAGTCTCTGGTCATCCCTGTGCTGTCCGCAGTCTCTGGTCATCCCTGTACTGTGTCCGCAGTCTCTGGTCATCCCTGTACTGTGTCCGCAGTCTCTGGTCATCCCTGTACTGTGTCCGCAGTCTCTGGTCATCCCTGTACTGTGTCCGCAGTCTCTGGTCATCCCTGTACTGTGTCCGCAGTCTCTGGTCATCTCCGTACTATGTCCGCAGTCTCTGGTCATCCCCTGTACTATGTCTGCAGTCTCTGGTCATCCCTGTACTGTGTCCGCAGTCTCTGGTCATCTCCTGTACTGTGTCCGCAGTCTCTGGTCATCTCCTGTACTGTGTCCGCAGTCTCTGGTCATCTCCTGTACTGTGTCCGCAGTCTCTGGTCATCTCCTGTACTATGTCCGCAGTCTCTGGTCATCTCCTGTACTATGTCCGCAGTCTCTGGTCATCTCCTGTACTGTGTCCGCAGTCTCTGGTCATCTCCTGTACTGTGTCCGCAGTCTCTGGTCATCTCCTGTACCGTGTCCGCAGTCTCTGGTCATCTCCTGTACTGTGTCCGCAGTCTCTGGTCATCTCCTGTACCGTGTCCGCAGTCTCTGGTCATCTCCTGTACTGTGTCCGCAGTCTCTGGTCATCTCCTGTACCGTGTCCCGCAGTCTCTGGTCATCTCCTGTACTGTGTCCGCAGTCTCTGGCCATCTCCTGTACCGTGTCCGCAGTCTCTTGTCATCTCCTGTACTATGTCCGCAGTCTCTGGTCATCTCCTGTACTATGTCCGCAGTCTCTGGTCATCTCCTGTACTATTGTCTGCAGTCTCTGGTCATCTCCTGTACTATGTCTGCAGTCTCTGGTCATCTCCTGTACTGTGTCCGCAGTCTCTGGTCATCTCCTGTACTATGTCTGCAGTCCATTAGTTCAGAATTTTTTTTTTCCTGTTTTCTGCCTCTAAAACCTAGGTGCGTCTTATGGAGCGAAAAATATGGTAAATTTGTCCACATTCTTAGGGGGAGCATACTTTAATCCTTTATCAAGGACCATAATTTCTTCTTTGGAGAGAGTAACCCCACTAAGGTTAATGACCCCCCTCTCCTATTGGTCTCTTTTTCTTTTGCTTAATCCTCCCTGCTCTGCAACATCTTCTCTTGTGGGGGCTTTTCCTTCTTCCTGATTCCGGACTCCTCTCTCTTTTTCCCTTCTCTAAAAAAAATCTTTATGATAATGATTATGATCCAACGGTTCAAACCTATTATAGGTTGGAAGGGGGCTCTGCTCTTCATACCCAAATGGGTGCCACCCATTATTATAAGGACTCCTCTCATAATAAGGCTGATAATTATCCCTAGACCGGGCATAATTATTCCCTATATTGTTGGTAATCTTGTCTAGGATAGGGATTTGATCTATAAGGTTGATATTGGGGTCTACCCCTTCCCCCACTTCCTGATGGTCCATTATGAAATGAGCCTCTCTTTACCGGCCTCCATCCATTACGAGGGGTCATTACGTAGGGATTCAGTGGCTAAAAATGTTTTAGATCCGCCAATTAACTACTTTGTTTTAATTTTAAAGTTTTTTCCCTTGTAAAAGATGTTGTGTATGTAAAGCCACTAGAGGGCAGAATAAGAAAAGGAATTCATTCACATGGAACAGTAATGGGGAATCTTTTGATATTCAAGATTTTATTACATGCAAAACAGAAGGTGTGGCCTATGCATTGGAATGTAGGTGTGGCCTGCAATACGTGGGACGCACGAAAGGCCTTTATGGGTAAGGTTACGAGAACATATTAAAAATATAAAAAATGGTTACCCTAAACACAGCTCGTCTAAACATGTCGCTAGCCCTCATAACAAAGACCCATCAGGATTAGTTTTCTGGGGTATAGAGAAATATATTAAACATTGGAGAGGAAGTCACAAGATAAGAACACTCAGTCAAGCTGAGTCAAGGTGGATTTTTAAAATGCAGACAATGACACCTAGAGGATTAAACATAGAATTCAACCTCAACTGTTTTATTAGTGATTTTTAGTTCCAATTGGCTATTTTATGGATTGTTACTAAATTATTTTTCTGTTTTTTTTTATTTTAATTAATTATATATATTTATATTTTTTATATGTATTATTTTTTGTAAACATATGTTATGGGTGTGATTAGGGAAATTTATATGATTATTAATTTGTCCACATTAGCTTCCATCGTTGGAGATTTATTTTGTATTAATTTTATATAGGAGTGTGGATTTATGTGTCCATATGATATGTGAACACGTAATATCCCCCCTTTTTTTCATATAAAAAGTTTTATATGATTAAATTTTAATTATTTAAATTGTTTTTTTTAATAAATATTTAATTTAGTCTCCCTTTTTTAATAAATTAATATCGTATTTGAATGAATATTTATAATTTAGTGTATAGTTTTTTCATTGTGGACATTTTTCCATGGATAATCATAAGTTTGTACATTGATGGGATAGGATGAGTAAGGAAGTCCACACCGCTGTATAGGCATTTGAGCTACAATAAAATGGAGGCTTTCATTCAGGTAAATGCTTGCTTATAGCAAAGTAATTCTTTGCTATAAGCAAATTGGGGAAGTGATCAGTATTTTTTTTTTTTTTTTTTTTTTTTTACACAAAGTAGTACAATGTTACTATGGTAACATTGTACTACTTTGGTCATAGTAAAATATGAAAAAAAACTTAAAAAAATGTAATAAAATAATAAAAAATTAAAAAAAAAATATATATATATATTTTTTTTCATACTTTCACCAGTCAGTGTCCCTGTTCACCGCCATGCCAGTTATATGATGATGCTGTACTGCACTGGTGACAGTATGTAAAAAAAAAAAAACGTGAAAATAATTTTTTTAATTTTCCGAAAAATTATGACTAAAAAAATACAACTTCAAAAAACTTGCCATTCCTCTTATGAAGTACGTCGGACTGTCTACTCTGCAAAAAGGGGTCATTTGGGGGATATCTGTCCTGTCCTGACATTTGGGGGGATATCTGTACCGTCCTGACATTTGGGGGGATATCTGTACTGTCCTGACATTTGGGGGGATATCTGTACTGTCCTGACATTTGGGGGATATCTGTACTATTCTGACATTCTTGGACCTCAAGAAATTAGATTGGCTGTCAGTACTTCAGGATTGATCAATGTTCAGATCTATACCATAGTTTGTGAACTCTATAACTTTCCTACAAACTAAATAATACATCCTAATTTGGGTTATTTTCACCAAAGACATGTAGCAGAATACATCTCGGCCTAAATTTATGAAGAACAATTATTTATTTGTAAACTTTTATAACAGAAACAAAGAAAAAAGTGTTTTTTTTTTCAAAATTTTTGGTCTTTTTTTGTTAATTTAGCAAAAAATAAAAACCCCAGCGATCATTAAATACCACCAAAAGAAAGCTCTAGTTGTGTGAAGAAAATGATAAAATTTTAGTTTGGGTACAATGCTGTATGACCGCGCAATTGTAATTCAAAGTGTGAGAGCGCTGAAACCTGAAAAATGGCCTGGGGGCAGGAAAGTGTAAAATTGCCCGGTATTGAAATGGTTAAAAAAGTGATAAAAAAAATTAAAAGGACAGTGTAAAAATAATGAAAAAAATCAAAATCAAAAAAAAAACCTCACCCCCCCCCCCCCCCCCCCGCGCACACGCCTGTGTGTGCGAGCGTTGTCCCTGTGCCGATACGTAAACAGCGGTTGCACCATGCATGTCGGGTATCGCCACGAACGTCAGATTAAGGGCAGTAATTCTAACACTAGACCTCCTCTGTAAATCTAAAATGGTAGCTTGAAAAGGCTTTTAAAATGTTACCTATTGATAGTAAAAATGTATGCAGTTTGTTGCCATTGCACAGGGCATGCGCAGCTTTAAAGCATGTCATGTTTGGTATCTATTTACTCGGCATACCATTATCTTCTTTATCTTACCAAATAATTGGCCAATATATTGTGTTTTTTGTGCATTAAAAGTAAAAAAAGTGTTTTTTTTTATTTGCTTTTAAAAAATCGCTACTTGAGTGCTATGCGACATATAAAATTGTAGTACCCACCATTTTATTCACTAGGGTGTCTGCTTTAAAAAATATATAATATTTGGGGGCTTAAATTAATTTCTTTGCAAAAAATACGGATTTTTTTTCACGTGAACAAAGTGTCAGAAAAGGCTTGGTCTTCAGGTGGTTAGAAGAGTGAGTGATGTGTGGCATAAACTTCTAATGCTGGGCATAAAATGCCCTCTCCCCCCCCCAAAATGACCCCTTTTTGAACATAGACACCCCAAACTATTTGCTGAGAGGCACGTTGAATTAATAGAAGAATTTATTTTTTACCACACAAGTTTTTGGAAAATGACAAAAAAAAAGTTTTTTTTTTTTTTTCTTGCACAAAATTGTCATTTAAATGATTTTACTGCTCACACATGCCATGTTTATATGTGGAATTACTCCCCAAAATACATTTTGCTACTTCTCCTGAGTATGGGGGTACCACATGTGAGAGACGTTTTGGCAGTCTAGCCAAGTACAGGACCCCAAAATCCAATGACCACCTTCAGGCTTTTAAAGGGCTTTATTTCCTCATTACACTTCCTGACTACCTATCACAGTTTCGGAGGCCCTAAAATGCCAGGATAGCACCTAACCCCCCCAAATGATCTACTTTGGAAAGTAGACACTCCAAGGAATTGATAAGAAGCATGGTGAGTATTTAGCAGATCTCGATTGTTGCCACACAAGTTTTTGGAAAATGAAGAAAAAAACAAAACATATTTTTTATTTTCTTTTTTTATATTTCAAAACCTTGTGAGAAAAAATGTAATCTGCAAAAATTAACTTACCCAATGCCTCTGTTTAAATTCCCTTGGGGTGTCTACTTTCGCAAAAGTAGAAGTCATCTTGGGGGGGGGGGGGTTTGGTGCCCTTTCCTGGCATTTCAGGGCCTCCGAAACTGGTGATTAGGTAGTGAGGGGGGGGATGGAAGAAGTAAACATGCTTTGGGGGTCACTTTTAGAAAAGGGGGCATTTGGGGGGTGTTTTTTACTATTTTGGTATTTTTGCCCCCTCAAAATGTGATGGGCGTCAGAAAGAAAAGCTGTGCAAACCCCTTATCTTTAAACCCTGATTAGACCTATAACTGTCACAAAAAACAATCAAATACCTTATTGGGATTTTTTAACCAAAAACTTTTAGCAGAATTAATTTGGCCTAAATTTTACAAAATTTTGTTTTTTTGGATATTCTTTTAAACCCAAAAAGGAAAAAATTTTTTTTTTTTTTAATTAACAAAAATTTTTTTCTTAAATTTTTTTGTTTATGTGCCAAAACTAAAAAGCGCACAGGTGACAAATCCACCAAAAGAAAGCTCTATTTTTGTGAAAAAAAAAACATAAATTTTATTTTTGTCCGGATTTCTGACGCGCAAATTTTTCCGTTAACAGTGAAGCCCATAAGCAAAAAAATGGGTAAAATTTAAAAATAAATTTATACTAAGTTGAGACGCTTAAAATGTCACCAAAGCAAT